TTCAAATCGCCCAGAAACCTGAAGAACCAGACACTCTGCAAGCAGGTACAACACAGAAACATTAATACAGATAACTAAGTCCCTTATCTGGAATTATTTTAAAGGGACAATCGTACAGATGTTGTTTGGGTCATCTGATAAAATCTCCCTATTCATTCCTCCAGCAGGGAAGGCAATGTGGGAGCGTCTCACAGCCCCTGAAGATGGTTTCTCCAAACTACAAAGAGAGAACCTTGCTATCATTGAGAGCTATGGCAAGGCTCTCATGGAGGTGGTGTGTCGGGACGCCTGTGACGGTCATGAAATTAGCAGGGTAAGAGCCAAATAACAGCCGTATGACTCATACACTTACTCAGTTGTCTGACAAAGCAGACAAAAATTAAGTTTTTGAAACTGAAGGTCTACAGTAGCCTATTGAGACTATTGAGGGCTAAATATACATGAGATTAATCCAGTCTTAATAGCTGTCACAAATGCAAATAACTACTGTAGCCAGGCTCTTTGTCTTACTGTCAGTGCTTGCTTTGTCATCCTCTCCCCCGTCTGTCAGATGCTGGCTTTGGCAGTGCTGGACCGGATCCTGTCCATAGACCGTCAGAATCAGTGGCTTGTTTACGTCTGCAACAGCGGCTACCTGCGCTCCCTAGTGGAGAGCCTGAGACAGGATGATGCCGCCCTGCAGACCCTGCTCACACCTCAGCCCCCCCTCCTCAAACCACTCTACATCTATGAGAGCAAGATGGTGAGGAGATGTGCACTTAAACAGACACACTGTAGGACCAGTCGTCTTTGCCTAAACGCCTCTGTATTATCATATAATCTCAGGATTATGAAGGTACAAGCTGTGTGTTGCTGTGTGTTTTCAGGCTCTGCTGACTCGTGTGGCCAAGACGGGTCAGGGGGCTGTGGAGCTGCTGCGCTGTGGGCTGGTGGCGCAGCTGATAGAGTGTCAGGTGTTTGACATGGTACCTGACAGCGATGCACACAGGTATGGATGTGGAAAGGGAAGGAAAGAGGTGGTGTGTTTTTATTTATATTAAATTGTGATGTTATTGATATTTTTGTTTGTGTACTGGACATTTTGAATAGAATATTCACCTACATTCGTCTCACGTCTCACTCTGATTTTACTAATATGGACATTTCAATACTTTATATTGGACTGGTATGAGTCAGCAACTTGTTCCTCCCAGGAGAATGCATTAATTAGACTGCAGCTTCTTTCTCTCTTGAACAAATGACCTCTGTTCTTACGGTGTCTATTTATAGTATCACTTAAGTCTGTGTCTGTTCTCTCGTGGTCTACAGGGTGATGAGGGACCCATCAGGCTTCATCCCCAGCCCTATGGACCGCTACAGGCAGATTCTCTTACCGACCTTGAGGCTCTTTCAGGTGATCCTGACCTCTACCACCATGAATCACCAGCAGGGGGCAGCACAGGTAAGCACAAAACTACTGAAGGACTACATTTACCTTAAAAATCCTAAAAGTAAGCATGTTATTAATGCCATTCGTTATATCAAATAGCTATATTGTGCCTGTTCTGACTCTGTAGACCCGAGTTGGGGTTAATGCTTCAGATCTGTGATCAGATGGATAGCAAATAAAAAGTGTATCTTATACGACTTGAATTTGCACTGTCAGCGTGCACTTACAGTCTACCTTTCTCTTTTTCTGTGTGTGTGTGTGTGTGTGTGTGTGTGTGTGTGTGTGTGTGTGTGTGTGTGTGTGTGTGTGTGTGTGTGTGTGTGTGTGTGTGTGTAGATTCTCCAGTGGCTGATAGTCCATGCAGACACCATTCAGTCCCTGCTGCGCTGTCAGGAGCTCAGTATGGGAGTTTTGCAGGAGCTCTCTCTGCTTACTGGCATCATCAGTAAGACAGCTCTGCCAGGTACAATCATAAACAATCTTCTCTTTTTATCCACTTTGTTCTCTGTTACATTTTCCCACTTCCACTGTGCAAGCCACATATTCACATATCAGAGACTCCATGAAGGGTTTTGGTCATGTATTTGCTTGTTCTCTCAGGTGCCCTTGAGATGGGTGGGGAGGTCAACAGTGCTGCTCTTCTGGAGTTCCAGGGTCACATCAACAGATTCCAGGTTCGATAGCTGTCATTGTTTTTGTCAGGTGTAACGTTTATGTGTTTTTGTTGTCGTCTTCTTTATCCCTGCTAATGCATGCTAATTAAAATGTGTGAATTGTACAGTTGATGGTAAGTCTCCTCTGTTTTTAGCGCCTGTGTCTGTCCCTGCTTGGCCGTCTGGCGGGTAGCGAGCGCGAGAGGTTGCTAAAGCAGGCTGAGATCGCTGCACCTGGAGACTCCGCAGACAGGCGAGAGGAGATGGAGGTGGCCATGCAGCAGGTCTGTCAAAAAGAATTCATAGTAAAATATGTATGGTGATGCCTGTGATTATTTATTTGGTATTTTGTAAGATTTCAGCAGTATAATGGATGGTGAGAGGAGAAAAAAAAGATAAATACGGCACTGAAACAATGTGTGTAGAGTCTTGCATCTATACTCAGGATTATTTATCAACACTCTATTGCCAGTGACCTGAAAGGTGTTGTCCTCTGTGCCCAGGTGTGTGCTAACATCATGGAGTACTGCCAAACACTGCTGCTGCAGAGCTCAACCCAGGCCCAGTTCAGCATCTGCCTCTTCAGCCCGTCAGGCAGCGAGCCAGCTGGCAGGGACGGGGGACGCGCAGGTCAGTGATATTCTGTCCATACTCAAACAGAGTAAAATGAATTTGACTCCTGTCACTGTCTGAACATAAATTGTATTGTTCCTTCCTTCAGTGTCTGATACCTGATCAATCTAGAAATCCGGAATCTCTTGAGCCCCTTTTAGCTTCACTCATTCACTGAAGCATGACATTGAACCATGATTCTTATTTTTTAAGATCTCTCATCCACTCTGCCATCAGTGGCTTATTCCCGTGCCCCCAGCCTGGGTCTGGTCATGTACCTGCTGAAGAACAGCGCTGCAGATTTCTTCCGGTTCCACCAGAGTCACAGACAAAGCCTGGGAAAACTGCAGAGTCTGGATCAGCTGCCGCCTGAGGAGCTCAAGGAGGTAACGATGGACCTATACACTAAATCACTGTACCCACTCAGCACAGTTTTCTATAAATGGTGAATTTAAATGTAACTATTCTTTCTGTTATGCACCTTATTGGCTCCAAAATGCATCGTTTTGAGTTGTAACCGCAGACATCTTCTCTGTAGTTGTGCCAAGGCCTGGTATCAGGCCCAGGAGGGGTGGAGAAAATCTCATCAGTCCAGAGGAGCTTGCTGGCCAAAAGACGACTGGTCCAGCTTATCAACAACAGAGCCAAGCTGCTGGCCCTGTGCTCCTGTATCCTTTTCCCTCTGCAGGCACACCAGAACTGAATAAATATATATATATATATATATATATATATATATATATATATATATATATATATATATATATAGGTTATTGTATATTATTTCTTTGGGAGTTCTGTATAAATACCACAATTGAATTGCAATAAAATGCCTTGACTAACGTCTTCCTCAGATGTTATTGAGACGTGTTTGTTTGTGCTGTGGCGCCACCTGGAGTACTACCTGTTGCATTGTACTCCCACTGACCCCAAGGACTCCCTTTTGCCTGGAGCCAGTTTGTATAGATCACGCCTCACAGACGGTGAGAAGACACGTTACAGCTGAATCCACATTTAAGCCAGGGTTGAAATCGAATGAGTTTAGCTTGATTGTAGTCATTAATTGAAACATTTCTTTTCGTCAGACTCGTTTGGCGGGTTGCAGGGAAGTGGAAGTCGTGGCCTTGGCCTTTCCAGAGTCAGCCAGCAAGACCTCGACGTGGTAAGCCAACAGCCAGCTGCGTGTACATGTTGCACACATGGGCATGAGCATTATGTTGTGTACATATTTATGTTAGCACCTACATTATTCCTAATCCCCTCTGCCTTCTGTTTGCCTGAACACAGCTGAAGAGCGACATGGCTGCCGGTTTCGGAGAGGCTCTGCAGAGGAAGCTCCTGGAGGTGGAGGGTTTGTACAGCCAGGTCCGCTCCCGCTACACCTTCATCCAGGCCCTGGTTCGCAGGATCCGCGGTCTCCTCCGACAGCCCAAAAGCTGAGACAGACTCACACACAAATACAAAGACTGGCCAAGACCCCAAATACTCCATTTCTTGAATTGAATGAAAACCTGTTGCCAAGCAGCACCAGCAAACCAAACTACCAAGGACTCCAACTTTCTGTCAGTTTGCTTTTTCTGGCAGCATCTCTCCTTTTTACCAACCTGTTGTTTACACCATCACAACACGTGGTGCATTCTGTGTGACCAGTCCTAATTCTCTGACTAATGCCATGCAAGAAGCGTTCCTCTAAGAAGTAACTTGCACAATACAGTTATGAAATTTTTACTCAATAAGAGAATGATTTACTTTTGTTTGCTCTGATTTCTTTCTCTTTTTTTTCTTTTTGTGAAAATAAACGTTTTCTAAATCTGTTAAATGCTTGTCTTGTTCACACATACATTACATAGCAAATCACCTAAACATCACCAGTTAGCACAATTTATTTTGTTTTTTGGATAGCAGTCTGAAATCACTGTCTGCTTAGTTTCTATTCATGCACGCTGTATTCTCATCATGCACTAAGGTGAGAGTACAGTGTGCATGAATAGAAACTATTGTTTGATCTGCCGTATTCTTACTTTGTCGGTACTAATTATCACGTACACAGACCGTCGGCCACTTCTGATAAAACAGCAACTACTGACTTCACCTGTTTTTATGTGCACGTCTTGGGTGACTCATTGTGAAAATCTTCTTATCAGGAGAAGCAAAACAAGGAACCAAAAGGAGACGTTTCTTTGTGAAAGTAGCATCACAATGACTGATATGACCAGAAGTGTCAGACTGGATTGAATCGCTGTGGTAACACCTTGTAGGTCAAATCATTCAAGCAGTAATATTACAACAAGCTAGAGCCACAGAAATCGTATTGAATCTGTTTTTATTTTCTTAGAAGGTACACTTTATAAGATTGTAAAGTGCGTAGTTTCTCAAACCTTTGGGGGAGGGGAGGACTTACAAAATCTGGATATACATTCAGATCTTACAGACAGGGAAGTTTTGTGCTTTTGTTTTTTTATTTGAATACTGAGGAGTTCAGGGGGTGGGTGAGACTCAGGTGAGCACCAGCATCGAGCACGGAGGGGGGGGGGGGGGGACTTGGAACACAGTCCATCCAGCACTGTGACCGGTCGCTGTCACACTGAAGAACCAAGGCGACGCGTCCCGACGAGTTAGTGGAAAAACATCTGCTCCCGGGGGAAAAAAAAATCTACCTACTGCACTCCTGAAGTCGAAGTTGTGAGGGAACGACTGTGTGCTACTTTAACAGATCATGCTTATCATACTCTATAAATTACTTTAAATAATAAAATTAATTACAGCATTAAAAACACATTTACATATCTCGCCCCAGCTTTGTTATATCTGATTGTGCTGCATTTGCATCTAAATAGAAAACTCTGCCACACGAAGACCCGATGATCCCCGCTTATCTCTAAGGTCCACTTACCATTCATCCTGTTTTTAATGCAAACATGGGTGATGTATGACAATACATATTGTGAGATTATAGAGATTTGGGAATTGAAGGTAGCTATACCTTTAAAAGGGGCACTCCACTGATTTCACACAGAAACGTCAGTGTACTTGTGATGGACAGGGTACAACTCAAGCTCTGAAAACAGTTGTGTAATGTAATGTCCTTGGAGACTCTGCAGGGCGCTTTCTAAAGTCGGGGAAAATAACCCTGATCACGTCATAGTGATGTCATGAGAGTTTGGTTTGAGACTTCAAATATACGACAGAAGTCCTGGGGGTTTAACGAGCAGGGAAGATCTAAGCCACTATTGTGTTGCAAAATGGGATTTGTAGGACCCAGTGTTTTTGAAGCATGGCTTGAGGATATCTCGGCCTCTGCTGCTCCATTTGTGACTGTTTTAAAAAGATCTGGTTCTTGCAATTCTCCAAAACCTTCTGAAATTGCCCCCTTGTATAGCTCTGGCTGCATTGTAGGCAATGCTGAAAATCAATGAGGAGGACTGATTTATTGTAGTAATGCATTCACAAGATGTTTGCATCAATATGATGAAGCACCTGACACTGGGTGAGCCAAAAACATTCACATTTGGTTATTTGATCTATAAATGGTTTCTTAACTCACAATATGTATTGCCATTGTGACACACTGGCAGAAGAGTTTATCCATATCATAGAAAACACACTACAGCAAAGCAGATCAGCCAACGTGCATCCAGAGTTTGATTAGACTGTTGATGGATTTTCATTGAGCCGTAAGAGAGGGAGATGAGACCATTATTATCCAAACACATGATCATTTTCCCACTTTGAAACCATCTTCTCAAGCAAAGAAAAGCGGGAATACTGTAAATATTTTTTATCATACAGATATCGTATCTATGTTATCAAAACCAATTTCTCGAACTGATTTCTGTACACGAAAAACATATTGTTCCTTTTTGAAAAGAAATAAACAAAACATTTATACTACACAGGTACACAGAGTTGAGTTACAGCACCAGCAGACTTAGTTTGGACCATCCTTTTGCTTTGATTCACATCCTGTACAGGGCGCTGTGTAAGTCTGTGGTTGTCCACTGGCTCAAGAGGAGTTGACATCTGAGTTTGAGCTGTCCTTAATAATGCCTGTTTGAGGGAAGTCGATCAATCCTGAGGCCCCGTTGCTCTAGTGTTGATTGTACCAGACGTGTCCTTTAGTAATCCAGCACAGCTCTAGCAGTGAATCAGAAGTTCTTTTTGCGGGTTTATGAGAAAATCCATGAAGAAAGTGGGAAAAAGGAGAGTGGCAAGAAAAGGCAGCTTATCCAGCACTGATTTTTTTCCACTTTGTCTTTAAGATTCAGATTTAAGGACAGCATGGAGAGTGTGCATTTGTATTATATGTGTGCATCACAACCTGCACGTATTGTCTTTCTTGATCAATCCAACGGTAGTTTGCTTGCACCCTTATGTGCTATCAGTACCCGCTTCTTGTGTGTTGTTGTTGTCCATCACGTTGGCACTGCTGCCGTTGGTCTGAGGGCATTCCGGCACCTCCCCCGTCACTGCCACTCGAATCACCTTCAGCCAGCGCTGCTTGGCATCCTCGTTGTCGGCCGTGAAGCTGTGGATGGACTTGGACTGAGAGAGGCGGAAGGTGTTCGAAGACTCTGTGTCCTCCACATTATAGCCCAGGAGCGGGATAGTACTCTGGGCCTTCACGTCCTGAGGAGAGTGGTCAGGGATGGAGAGATTATCTGTATGGATGGGTTTCTCAAACAAATATGGGTGATTACATTTTTTGCTTCATTGTTCTTGGTGTTTTACCTGCGGAGCTCCGTAGAGATAGAGCACCAGACTCTCCTTCTGGGGGATGACGCACCACACCTTCTGCAAAGGTTTGTTCTTCTCACAGTACTGCAGGAAGCCACACATGATGCTGCTGCCTGTGAACTGAGCCGCCTCGATCTGCACATTAGTACAAAAAACAATAAACCAACGCTTGTTCAAAGTGTTTTTTGTAAGTGACTTCTGTATTTCTATATCAGTTATCTCTTCATTTAGTATTTCTGTATGTATGAGTGCATCCTCCTCACCTCCAGGATGCCCTTCTTCTTGCCCTCGGCTAATGCTTCTCCAGTCAGGATGGAGTAGCAGTCTTTGCAGACTTTGTTCATCTTGTTGCTGTCATATTCGAGCTGCACCTTATTGTCTGAACACTTCCAGCACACCACCTATAAGAAAGAGGAAGAGAAATATACCACATTCTTATCAGAACTACAATTCATGTTTAAAAAGGAAGTATCTCTGAGCATCGTTTAGTTCACTATGACTACTTTTAGTTAGTAGGCATTATATTATTTAATTTAATTATTAAAGCATGTTCAGGGGCATTTTGCATGTGATTGGTGGCAGACAGTAAATAAGGGGAAAGGCATTTAATCATTAATAACCAATTAAATAGAAAGAAGGGTCGTTGTTGAGGATGACTATACTCAACATCTTTGGTAAAAAGTATTCAGGTTAGAAAAAAACACAAATTATTGGTGTTTAAAATCAATATTTGGTCTCATTTGAACTGCAAGCTCTGAATGAGTAAAAGTTCTCTCTCATCCACCTACTGTACATGCATTATGCATGACTTACGTAGCCGCAGGCTCTGCAGTGGTGTCTCCGCCGTGTCAGAGCGTTGAACGGCTCTTTACACTTCATGCACATTGTCACTTCATTGTCGCGGATCCATCGAGGGGCACGCTTCCCCAGCTCTGCGTTCTGTATTCAAACAAACACACACGTGCTCAGTATGACGGCGCAGAAAGGTGCCGATGGTTTAACTGTGTGTGTACGGCTCCAACGCGACACTTACTGACACTTCCTCCACATCTCTCAACGCGTTCTTGAATGACTCATTTTTCTGCTGGAAGATCTCAATGGTTGCCCGGAAAGCCTGAAAGATAATAACAACATCACGTGTGAGTCACTCTACATTTCCTTCAAACACGTATAATCAAATATGCAAATTATGTATGTACCTTAATCCAGTCTGCCTTGTCCTGCTCTGAGCTGAAGAGGAAACATAAAGCCAGAATAAGCACTGAAATTCTACAAACCTTAACTTCCTGTTCCTCTTATAACACCGCGTTAAACCAACATAGCAGTTCGCTGTGACCAAAAGAGGTTTACAGGGCGTAAATATGGTGCTTGGGTGTGCTCATTTAGGTGGTCTTCCATATATACATGAAATTATACTGTATGGGTTACAGATTACATATAATTATATACTTCAATGTGGAAGGGGCTGGGATGTTTTTTTAAAACTTATTGGTATTGTGTGTGCTATTTCTGCATAAAATGTACCTGGCCTGTAGCTCCAGTGTCCTCTCCTTCCCAGACACCTGGAAGGTATGAGGGTAATCCTCGTTGGTCGTTTCCAGGACCTTCATGCCGTCGATGCCGATCCGCGTCCTTACTGTGTACTTCGCCCCTCCCAGGCTGAATTTGGGCACGCAGTACAACAGCATGTTGTTGAACTGGCAGCAAAAGAAACACAAACCGCTTATTTATAGCAGAACATGAGGTTTGTGGCATTGTTTTCTTCCAAAAAGAGGCAATCTCACACCACAGGTAACCTGAATTACACATATGGGAGACATGCAGCCTGAAGCTAATAATAAACAGCCAGAACATAATCACATCATCTGGCAATCTCACTAATTGAGAGATTTGTTCATGTGCCCCCGGTGGATCCTCACACGGAGGTGTTCCTGGCTTGAAATGATTCACTTGTTTCAATTGACTTGTGCAGAAGAAGTCTCGCCACAGCATATTTCCCTCCAGTGTTTATCATTAGGCAAGGAGGTGTTTTCACACTCTGCAGTTTATCTCACCAAGAAGAGGTATCGCTCCATGGCCGAGGTGTTCCTGGCCGCCAGCTTCAAGATGTGGCCCTCTTTGATGAACTCGTTAGAGGGGTTGACAATGTCCTCCTCCTCTCCCAGCATCTCGTATATCTCCATCAGCTTCTTCAGATTATCCTAAACAAGAATGTTTATAAGAATTTATATTAGTTGAAAGTTGATGTGTCGGAGAGATTCTGTCTTGGTTTAAAAAATCTGTAACTTACAGATTTTCGTATGGCGCTATTGGAGTGAGTAGCAGCTGTGGCGATGATTTCTAATGATTCTGGGGGTGAAAAAAATAGATGGGTTACTTTAATATATCCCAAGTGAAATTAAAATGACTTTCTGGAGTGGGAACTTGAGGTATGTCAGCTTACTTTCTGCATCTCGTCGGTCAGAGTCGTCCTGAGGCAGCTTCTTCAGATAGTCTTTGAGCAGCATCTCGTAGCGAGGGACTCTCTGCACGGGCTCCAACATGTGATGCTGCAGCGTCAGGAAGCCACACACCTCTTGACTCTGTCCAGAAATAACCACGAAAAAAACCTCACTTTCTACACTTAATATCTGTTTGTGAATATGCTCACCCAACCCCAAACCTATTCAATGAACAACAACAAAAACAACAGAATAATATCTATAATAAAGTGTATTTTTCTGGACGGGATTTTGGTGGGCAGTACCTGTATCTCCTGAATGATGGCCTTGAATTGAGGAGAACGATCAGTCCACTGTTTCAGCAGCTCCATGGCTTTGTCGAAATTCTTCACGTACTCTGCATACATCTTGAGGAAGGGTGTGAGTTTCTGCAGGATGTCTCCAATACGAGGTGTGGACGCCCTGCAGGGAGGGAGAGGTAGGTTTGTGAATCATAATGTGGAGACCTGAGGTTGTAAAAGTAGACAGCAGCTTTTTCAGAGTTTGAGTGTTTAAGACAATGTGAAGGCGAGGTTTGATACAGGATCCTATAGCATTTATGATTATTTCATTACAGGCTGAAAGCTCACCATTCTCCCATGCGTTTCTCCAGATCTGGAAGCAGAAACTGGCTGTGAAAGGCATGGATGGAGGAGATGTTGGAGAAGATGTTCTTCACCACATCCACGGGGAATGTCCCTTTATTTGCTTCCTCCATTAGCTTAGCACAGAAGACCTGTGGAGCCGTACACAACATAGAACTGATAAGTGACAAATAACTGAAAATCTCACAAAAATATATTTGTACGCTTCCACAACTGTGTAATTCAAACCCTTTACTATGTAACAATGTAAAAAAAAAAAACGAAGTGAACACCTCACCTGGTCCAGCAGGTTAAGTCGAGCCACGTAGGCCTTCTCTGTATGCAAGAGCTCGCTTGCAATCTTAAACAGCTTCTGTTCATTTGTCTCCTGAAAACAGAGGGTACATTACTGTGAATTTGTACATGTGTGGTGATCTTAATTTAACTTCTGCTCATTAATGAATTAGCGAAGTGTGAAAGTCATCTTATTCTGTTGAGCTAGAAAGTCAGCAACAGTCAAACAGTTCAAAGTCTGCATAAGGACTGTTTCCAGTCTGATACCTCTCTAATGATGAGTAATTAGTATTGTCATCTCAGGCTTTAAGGAAAATGGGACCTTATAGGCATTCACCAAAACGACTGGAGTTAAACTGAGCTAAAAATAACGCAGACGTGTGGGGCAACCTGTCTGCCGGGCATGAATTCAATCCAACTTAGTATCATTGTCATTTGCAAGTGTAGCTTCCCGTCCCTCTGCAAGTTCCTGTTTGTTTGAGGTCACTGACTTAGGACTGTATTCACAGTACACACAACTCTTTTGAAAAGAGCCATCAGAGAATACACAGCTGGGAAAACCTGTTGCATTTTCTACATTTCAAAAACAAAAGACTCATGGCAAATCATGCATTTACTGTACTGAGTCAGGTTCAACGCCTCAGTGACTCCTCTGCTGTTTGAGTGCAGCCTTGCGTCATTAAATGCTGTTTCACAGTAGACAGCAGCATGTAGCACTGGTGTGTGTGTCCTTAACAATGGGGTGATGCTGGACTAGGCTGTGGTGTAGCAGGGTCTCTTAGAACAGGAAATGAAATTATAGAATAAGGGAAATGACACCAATTCAAACAAAGACACAAACACAGAGCTTTTTCTGTGGGAGGCCAATCAGTATGATGAACAAGAACTGTAGCCTCAAAATCTACTCAACAAAACATCAAAAACTAGTACTGATATGATGAAATGTTGCATGCCAGGACAGTTTACCCGCACAGTGATCGTGGCAGAATATTTCGCACGATGCATAACCGGAAGGAAGCAACATGTTCCTCTCAAATGTTGGGCTAAGTGGCCCGAGAGCAATCAGCCTCACATTTCCACATAATTCATTTGTCAACACATCCACAATGTTGCTATTCCTCTTCTGACTTTCAAAAGAAATAATTTTCCAAAGCGTATGATGGTTTCAGAACGAGAAAAATGCAATTCATTAGGCTTTTCAAATAGACACTGGTCAATGGAAAATTACATGGAAGGCATTTGAGTGGTGGAAGGCAAATAAGTAAATTTACTCAAGTGCTGTACTTAAGGGTCCAGTTTGTAGGATTTAGTGGCGGCTAGTGGTCTAGTTGCAGATTGTAACTCCCTCGCTTCACCCCCTTGTTACTTTTCAGATTAAGATAAAAACAACAACATGATGAGCTCTTAAGATTCAATGCGTCATTAAAAATTAAACCAGTAGTCCCCAATCTTTTTTCCTTGTGATCCTTGTGAAGCAGTGTGTAATTGGGGCCCCTTGTCACGTTTCAGATGTCTATGAGTTGTTAGCAGTCAGCCAAAGATGCTTCTCAGATGGTTTCATTTAAATAACTGCTCAAGGCCCAAAGAGGTAAAATCTTTTAATATTTCACAAAAAAGTAGTGGGTTTCCAGACATCTGTAGCTCGCTGCTCATCTCTGCTTGAGGTTAGAGACTAGGGGCTAAATTCCAGCACTACTAACATAACAAAGGTTATGAATCTCCAACCAAACTGTCAGCAGTTGAGGTTGAATTGTGGGTCATGTAGGTGCCAGGTGCCAAAATATCTTATATATTATATTAAATATAATATATATTATATATAAATATAAATCTGCTGTTTAAGTACATTTTGCTGCTAAGACTTTAGACTTTTACTTGTAGTAGAGTATTTCTACATGGTTTCATTGGTGCTGAATGGGAGTATTTTAAGAAGTTGTTTTGTACAAGCCACAAGCTACAAGATATACTATGTGTGTACTCAAGATAATTCCAAAGAGCACAAACAATCTGATTACAAATCCAATAACTGGAACAAAGCTATTCAAATTTAATCCAGATTGGACTGAGCCTTAACTGACTAGATTTGACTAGATAAGAATCATCACAATCACAAAGTTTCAACCTCTCAGGTTGGCAAATATGTGTGTTGTTTTAGCTCCTCTTCTCCCATACGAGACTGCATGGAAGTTTTCAGCAGGGAGAAGACAGAGATAGATCTGAACCTGAGATATTTTTAATCTGTAGACAACAGCAGGCACCACAGGCTCCCACAGGGGAGGTCGCCGAGGCACGAACTCAGCTGCTCAAGCGTTCGACATCTGCTCGGCCTTCGCAGATAATAACCCCTCTGAGACACACACACACACACACCCCCTTGTAACTCTACCCTTGCAGTGTCAGAGTAACCCAGAGTTGAATTAGTTCAGAAGATTTAATTGTACTGAAAGCCTAGAACATAAATAAATGCTGATGGTTTGTCAATCAGAGACCGCAGTGTCAGAGCAACAAGACAGCTCTGTCAGCCTCTAAATATAGGACACAAAGCATGTAAATACACAGACCACTTGAAAAACAAACCTACCTTATGGTCTGCGCTCCCTTCGTCGTTTCTGTGCTCACTTTCTGTTTGAGTTCCATTGCCCTCATTCTCAGTGTGGCTTTCTGTATCAGTCCTGTCTGTGTGTGGAGGTGATTGATCATCACTCTGTTCTGTGCTTCCGTCCCCCATATCGCCATTTACCAGCCCAGCAGTCTCTATCATCACACTTTCATTGTTCCTCTCCGGTTTGTCCTCCTTCTCCTTGTCCTGCTCCATCTGTGCTACCACCCCGTTAGGTGGCGCTTTGTGGGCATCCTGCGGCGGGGCCGGTACGGGGGAGTGGTTCTCCTGAATCCCGCCGGTCTCGGTCTGCTTCTGGAGGGCGCGGTGAGCTGGGCTACAGTTGTTTGACTTGCTGATCTGTTTGAGTGGCGATCCGTCTCTCTTGCTCTCTGTGTTGCTGGAGGAACAGAGGAAAAAGCAAAGGAGGAAGTCAGTACGGCAAGAGCACGGGGTTAACTTACAATTTTAAAAAAAAAAGGACATGGGAAGGGAGAAAGGAAAGATTACAGGAGTGTTGTTCAATAGCTGCTCAATGCTGGTTGACCAGGGAGTGTGAGACAAGACGGTAAGCAGAGAGCTTGCATGTGAGTGTGAGAGTTAAAAATAAAACTGTGGAGGTGCACAAACTTCGTTCTGTCTTATGAGACTGCTGAGAGCTGGTGTAATGTAGAGGAAGTGTGTGTGTGTGTGTGTGTGTGCACGTGTGTGTGTGTGTGTGTGTGTGTGTGTGTGTGTGTGTGTGTGTGTGTGTGTGTGTGAGCGAAGGAGGAATGGAGGTACAGTAATGAGGAGGATAGGAGGAGGGGGGAGAGGTACAGCACTACTCCCTAGAGATAGATCCTGTCCTACTTCCAAGGAGAACCCACATTATATATTGGGCTGCTGTAACATCTCTTTCAGTCTTGGCTTGCACATGAATGAAATGGGAAATAAAATGTTTGCAGAAGACAATTCGAAACACAGCACAGGGATGGAAGCTAGATTAACACACACACACACACACACACACACACACACACACACACACACACACACACAGGCATGTACAATGTCGCCATTCATCTGCTCGACATCCTGTAGCGGCAGTCAGTCCAGCTGCTTCCCCGTAAATTACCCTTCAGTCTTACAGCAAGCAGCTACCTACAGTTGCTACTGTATCTTAGCTCAGTTTAGCTGATCTCACATCTGTTGTAAAACTGGCCACAAATCGACCTTAAAAAAAACGTATACCCATTGGAGCATCACGAAATCTGACAGAAAAGATACGCAAGATACTATATCTGTGATCTAACCTTTACTGATGCAAAAACTCGGGGTAGTATTTAGCCTCAGCGCTGTTCACTGTTGCGTTGACTGTCACTGTCCGGTAGAAACAGGAAGTATGTATAAATAGAGGAACAACAACAGGCTGGTGAAACACTCCACAGATGAATCACTTCTGGGCTGTCAGCCACCAAAGGTGTTCCTGTACGTGAGACAATACCATCCGTACCCTCCAGAGGGAGACTAATAATAAGAATAATACCATTATTGCCTTATACTGTAAATACTACTGAAAAAAACACACACACACACACACACACACACACACACACACACAACTTCACTTTGTAGTGTGAAGGTGGGTGCACAGAGCAGTTCCTCTTCGTGTATAAACAAGTGTTCCAGCACATGACAGAGTTTTAAAACGAGACAGAACTAGACAAGAATTAAGAACAGCTTCACTTGCCATGTGGCAGTTCTTTAAAAGGTGCCTTTAAGGCAGCCAAGTGCCATGTGAACCAGATTAGTATATTAGTAGGCTAATTCTGTTCTCAGAAGCTGCGGGCCTTTCTCTGTTTTCTGTTTCAGTGCCACTAGAGGGCTAATCCCCACAGCACCGCACCGTCTGAATGAAAAAGATACGCCCGATTTCTCCCATTAACCTCACTTCAACGCTAGAAAATGTGATGAAAGGTGTGGAGGAAGGCTAGGATTCAGGTTTTCAGAGATCCAGACCAGGGACGACCTTGGATATGAGGCTACATGATGAAGATACTGAGTGAAATCTCAGTGGGTGTGCCACTGCTGCAGACTGAATATTTTTGGGATCTACTGTATGAGCAGTTGGGACAAGGGCACCATTGTTGGGCCTCTCACCACTTTCAATGGGCCTCTCTCACGTAAGGCAAGGCTGCAGCTACAATCAAAACTTACATGACTTGTAATATAACGAGATGTAATGCACAAAAACAGGGGTGAACGTTTGAAAGCCTTGTAGATACGTCTCTCTCATTCCTGATTCAGAATGAGTAAATTCAGCTGGGAAGAGTTTGTGTAAAAGCACCGGCCAACTGAATACTTAAATCAGCAACAAGATCAAAGCAGAGGCGTTTAAGTTGAAATAGCCGAAGACATCCTACCTCATTCTCCTGGGCTTCATCTCGCAACACTGAGTCCCGTCCCACAACTGAATGAGGAACTGTGTTTTCCCTCGCCTGTACAAATCTCCTTTCATCCCCTCGCTAACGCCTGGCTTGTGGAGCACGGGCTAATCTCCACTCGTCATGTCTACAGCTCCGGTCTGTGCTACTATCAATGAGTCAGACTGCAGACTTTGATTGAGGGACTTCTGCTTTTCATCCTTGAAATAACCGGCATAGGAAATGTTAGGAAAGACAAAGTTTTCCATCACCGTGATTACAACAGCTTGAATGAGGTCGTCTTGTTGCAAAAGCTATTAAGTGACGTGGATGGAGTTATTCAACCATCTGTCAGGGTAAACAGTATATTGCTATGCCGGTCACAGACTGTGTGCCATCAACGAATATTTCTCAAGCGAGAGCAATATTGAAGAGCCACTTTCACTGGCTAATATTACACAATAGATTGGCATCATTAAATGAGCAATTCCTCACACAGCATACACTTCCCTAAAAGCTTCTCTCTGTGAAGGGGAGCCACACACACCACCGGGGAGGAAAGAGCCCCTACCTGTTCTCCTCAAAGCGGCTGATGAGGTCTGAGACTTTGGAGTTTTTCTCCCTGACTTTATCCCGGTTCACAGCACCTCTTCCTCCTCCAACCCCTCCTCCTCCTCCTCCTCCTCCCTCTCCTCCTCCTCCCTGTTCCATGACCGGTCTATGCAGTGGTTTCTGTATGTGGCCCAGCGGGGATGAGAGCCCAGTCACCGGGCTCTGGAGATGTGGTGGCTTTGGAGGCACTGGAGAGAAGACAGAGGAAAAGTTAGAACACTAGGGACCTTGATGGCTTCAGTGATCTTGGATAGTTGCAGATGATTGCCTTGGTTCTTTCTCATCAGTGAATATGTTGCTGCAATGTGGATTTACACCTGAAGGGGGCGGCATAAGCTACCCCAAATGGCACCACACACAGCACAGGGCACTGAGCTGTATGAAATAAACAAGTAAGGCAGCTCGGCACAAAGTAACTGAGCAGTTTTACTTTGCTCACAAATCATGTGTTAGGAATCAAATGTCCTGCATGATTTACAGCAGCAGAAAGAATGGAGCTCAGTCTCTTGTCTTATCTGTGTAGAATGATTTACTCTGCTCAAATAAAGGAGGAATGAGGGTTCACCGATCCCAGGACAACTTACATAACCCTATTCCTGTTTTCACTGTCTCTCTGTGGTGGCCTGAGCATGTGTGGAGTCTGTATTGGTGGAAAGTAACTGAGCACATTTACTCAAATGCTGTACCTAAGTATAAATTTGACACTTTTTACTTCTACTCTACTACATTTCAGAGGGGAATATTGCAGGTTTGCAAGCTTTAGTCACTAGTTTTTAGAAATGAACTTTTGCATATAATACATATGCTTTGTTATGAATTAAACTACCCAACAGTACAAATACAGGCAATCAGTTGATTGACAGAAAATGATTTGGCTATGTTAATAATTGTTATTTTTAAAACAAAAATGCCAAACATTTCATGGTTCTAGTTTCGCCAATGTGAAGATTTGTGGCTTTCAGTTTTCCTTTATTTTTTAGTAATTTTGAAATTTGGATTATTAATCAGACAAATCAAGCAATGCAAAGGTGCCACTTAGGACTCTGGGTAAACTCCCTTTTTATTTTTCCTCATAAATCAGTGCTATTAGTCACCCTGCAAGTTTTATAAATATTTAACCACTGAAAATGTACAGGATATACTGTGTCATGTTTCTAAACAAACACAGTAAACAAACACAGAGGGACAAAGGTCGCCCTAAGACAATTAGCATGTGCGTGCCAATACCTTCACGATGACTTCAAACATGAATCATAGACCAATACAATTGTGTCCGCTGACCCTCCCACTCTGCAGTGTTTAGATGAAGTGATGTGTGTTGTCATTATGTACCTTGTGGTTTGGACACCGACCGAGGCCTGCTACCAGGGCCTCTTCCATTGACCCCTCCCTTGCTCTTGACAGTCTTCCCACCGCCCGCCCGACTCAGACACGCCTGCACGCTGGGTGGGTTTCTGTGCTGCTCGCTCGCCGGGCTACAGCCTAGAGCTGCAGGACAAAGAGAGAGAGAGAGAGAGAGAGAGAGAGAGAGAGAGAGAGAGAGAGAGAGAGAGAGAGAGAGCGTAGTAGTAAGACATTACAACATCTCTTCACAAATGAAATGAGAGTGATGAAACAGATTATGATAAAAAAACAAGCATGATGTAATGCGTCATGTAAATGTTGACAGCCTTCATTTGTTCTCCTCAGACAGAACACAGGCAGGAAATGAGGGGAGAGAGATGGTGAGTGACATGCAAAAATACACACAACAGCACATTTTTAGATACATCGTCAATGTACAGGCACCAATACTGGTGGTCATATATACAGTAGTTTCTCAGATAATTCTATTTTTGATATTGGCCTATTTTTGCATTACAGGCATACATTTTCGTCCTCAGTTACAGAGGTTTGTTTGTTTGTTTGTTTGTTTATTAAGCCGCTATATTCTTCCTGGGGTCCACACAGTTTACATGGTGACAATACCATCAAAATATACACACTCACACTACTCATCACAACACATCATAATGCACATATACTGTAATATATACTGTAAACAGTAACAATTGACAATTTATAGACAAACACAAAAAATAAAAAAAGGCCAACTCCAAATGAATGTATCATGACCTACCAAAAAAATATCATCATGATCTCACAGATAAATATCATCATTTCACCATTTATTGCCCATGGAACCATGGAGGTGATGCATTGTAGATGACAGTCTTGTAATCTTTTTGCAGAAAAGAAACCATATAAAATATTCACTACTCAAACCCACTGTTTCCAAAGATACAACACCATGTATGACACATGGTTGAATGGTATACCATATTAACCCCTAGTTGTTTAGAACTTTAAAATTGATGCACATACTGTGTTGCTTTTGACCTACAGTAGGTGGGATTGTAGCTAAAACATATATAACCAATCTGCTCAATATAAAATGTTCACACCAAATGTAAAAGAAATGTTGTGAACTCTAGAGTACAAGTGGTTACATCTGATGAATCAATGCAGACAGACAGACAGACAGACAGACAGACAGACAGACAGACAGACAGAGGTCTAGAGATGAATGAATGTGCTACAATGTTTTATTTAACTTTGAAGGCTATGAATTATTATTAAAAAATTCCAGTTTGTTGGCCTGAAGGATCACTGTGGCTTTCCATTACACAATGGACCCCACCCCTGCCATCATACTGTATCAGAATCCTCTCAGTGTGTCCTACTGACAATCACATCAACCAATCATTTTTATACACAGGGCATACTGTATATATTTATTGCTGCAAATACGTTGACGAGAAACAGCTGCAGGCTAAATGTTAGAGAGTGTCAGACGGTTCAGTTGATTATCCAGCTAATGATCCAGTTGATGATCAGCTCCAGTGAAGGCTTTTACCCAACCAGCTGGCCACAGATGGTACAACATCAGTGTTTAGATATAGCAGACAAACTGATTTAATGGAGCAACGGGCAGTGTTTATAGTAGCCTGAATATCCTCCTCACAGCACACACACACATACATGCATGTAAAACACATGCAGCCCAGTAAGGCAAATGGCCATATATGGTACTAAATTGCCAGGAGCCAGGAGCTGCTCTCATTATTTTACAAGCTTTTAGTTCATTAGTTTCCATTTAAAGTGGTCACTTAAAGGGGTGTGTGTGATTTAACAAGTGGCACTGATGTATGGGTTGGATTCAGAAATCGATGTAGCTTCGTGCTTGGCTAACTTGTATGAATAAACAGTGTGTGCAGTGGAGCTTAAAGAATTCAGACTTAGACTTTCGGGAACTTCCGACTGCTTTTATTTGTATCTGTTCTGTTTTTACTCATAAACGTCTACAGTACACAGACAGAAGAGTCTGGTCCTCAGTGATGTTAATATGGAAAGAGACATTTTCCATCGCTGTAATATAAATTATTGATAAGAGGTCTTAATTCCTTGATAGACCCGGTTTCATGTCCCAAAATAGGTCACGTTAAAAGCATCTGCATAAGATATCTTCCACCCTTCTTGGCAAATACATCAAGATTATAGCTGAAACGATCAGTCGATTAATCTTTAAAAGTCGACTGATAAATCAATCATATATAATAATCAATCAGCAACTATTTTCATAATTGATTAGTTTAAGCCATTTTTTCAAGCAACTACACAAAGAGTTCTGATGTTCAGCAGGTAAGAAGTATCAGAAGTTAGTTGAGTTTATCCTGTTGGCATGCTAACATTTGCATTATAGAAAACAGATAAACTTATAAAAAAATGATTATAAGTTGCAGCCCTAAAGTATATGAACAACGGGTAATTCACCCTTTCAGATGCAGTTTGTTGAAACTGCTTGGGGCCCCTTATTTGTTTCCTCTACAGTGATCTTTATCTTGCCAATCCAGAAACAGAAAGAGAAAACAACAACCACAGAATCATATAGTGACAGTTTCTATTTTTACAGCCTGACCGTAATTAAAGACAACATCTTTAGCAACTGTCCGACTGGAAACGGTCCCACGCTGCGTTTGGGAGAGCAGACTTTCTAAAAACGGCCCCTGCAAATTACCAATCAATTCTGAAGGCAGCCTCAGGAATTTCTCTCGATTACGTGTTTGGCTTCCCTTCGTGGCCACATTAAGAGGGAGTAAAAAGAAAGAAAAAAACCTCCAGCAACAAGCTATGCACCATGTTGTACATGTATGGCTAAAAGTGAAGTCTCCGCCTGCAGATTGTGCTCCACATACTGCAGTTATCCTGGAAGATTGCAGGGGGTCCACTCTCCACAGCCTGGCTCTGTCTCCTAGGCTTGTTATTAACTGAGTCAAACACATCCCTCGGCTTTAAATCACATCTGTGCTGGGTGCTTTCACATGAACCCAAGCAAGTTGTGCAGGCATTTTAAGTGTTACTGCTCAAGATTAGAAAATAGAGATGTGAATAGAGATATATGTAGATAAGTCTGGAAATGCATATGTATTAAGCTTGGACCTGCATACTGATGAAACTGTCAGTTGCGTAGAGAAAGATTTTGAGTTTGGATTAGATCAACTATCTTCTCTACCTCTACTACTATCTTTCTCTTATATGAACCATTGGGACAATGAAGCACAGCCAGTTCTGTCACAGTAAAAATAGGACAAACTCTACTTCCTTTCTCAGAACCGGCGTGCTTGGCAGGAATTGCTGTCCCTGGTAACACACAAATTCTGGCATCTTCTCATTAAAGCTGTCTTGGCACAAGTGACAGACCGCCTTGTACAGTAAATTAGTAGCAGCTAGCCGCCACCCTGCACAAAAACTTTTTATTCTCCTCCTTCATCTGCTTGATGGGGAAAGGAGCCCTGTTGTCTGCAGACTTGTTGATGTGGATGATACATAAAAAAAGAGGAACTTCTGCTTCACAAGAACTCAGCTATGTGAGTTTTTAATCACCATATGTGATGTCACTTAATACCCTAATATCCTAACTGATGGTATGACAGCATTTCCTCTACTTAAGTAAAATGTTTTTCATAGAAACCGAAACACTGCTGGAGTGCTGCTGCAAACTAGAAGTGAAGAGTTGACAAGTGAAACTGAGACACGACCTTTGCCTCTGTCCCTGTTGGAGGATGGTGAGACTTGCTGCCATGGCAACTAGCCCGTTACCTTCGGAAGATGCTAAATTTATTTCACCGCAGAGTGGACTGAGCCTGAAGGCATCTGCTTCTATCTCAATAAATCCAAAACAGCACAGCGAGTGTGAGACTATGAGAAGTGCCCTAGTCAGGGTTAGGTGTCAGGAGCAGTGCAGATGAGAAAGAACAACTTGTGCTGGTTCGCAAAAGCACTCAGCGTCTTTTACAAATATACACGTTTCTAAAATCATGAACAGCGTCCTCCCTCCGTGTGTGAGTCTATCAAAAGGACAGAGCTGTGTAAAATCTCTGCAAAAACATCAGACCAGATCCAGCTTGTTTTTCAGACAGAATTAATCTTTGTAAGGTTAACCTGCGCTCATTTGTGTGCGTGTGTGTGTGTGTGTGTGTGTGGGGTCAACATTGTTGTGGTAACACAGCATTAAAGACCCCCCCAACCCCACCCCCCATTCACAACCTTGCAGCTCTGCCACATCACAGCAGCAGAGGAAAGAGTTTACTGCAAGCAAGCAAAGACGGCTGAAGGAATGTATCACTCCGACACAAATATCTTTCTCTGCAACAAAGAAACAAACAGTGTCTGAAAATAGAGAATCATCCCAAATTGTGCCTAAAATAGTTTGGTTCCAGGGATGCCATGTCAGTTGGTTTGTTGGTCAAATACTTTGGGCTTAAGCAAAATAACTAGTGGATGGGTTTCCATTACATTTTGTACAATTATGATCCCAAGAAGATGAAATGACTTTCTTCTGTTTTTTACACCCACTGTTCAAAATCTAATCAATTAGCCTGATTTAGATAAAGTTATTTGAAGGCACATTTAAGTAATTTGAAGGGAAAAAATGTCTAATTTGTGTGCATACATAATAAAAAATGTCACCCCAATACATCCTGCAGCAATCTAATAAGGATAAGGCTACGTTCACTGCAAACCATAGTGCTCAGATCTGATTTTTTAAAATTTATTTTTTGTTTGGCTGTTTAGATTCTTGTCTGATTCGTGTGAACAGGTCCTAAAGTGACTCACATGACAAAGGTAGATCTAGAGTGACTTATAAGTAGCATGAATTCTGATACAACTGTTCATACTCAGGTCACATTGTAGAAATTCACCTGTGTCTGATTCAAATCACATATGGAAGTGGCCAATCGGGACTGAAAAGATCAGATTCCATGAAGTTGGTGCCATTTACATCGTCATGAAAAACAGATGTGATTTGATTTGGGCCACTTGTGTCTGCAGTGCAAATCTAATCCAAACTCGTAGTCAGGGGATCATGAAGGTCTCCACGACAATTTATGGCAAGTTATAGTTGTTGAGATATTTCAGTCTGGAACAAAGTGGTCAAAGGTTGCCAT